ACATTTCTGTAACTTTTGACTAAAGAGGATATACTTCTCTAGTTATTAAATTTAAAGGATCTATCTTTCCCCTCCTAAAATACTTTTTTTTCCATTAAAGCTCCCCAATTAAATTGATTTAGAGTTTTAATCAATTAAAAACATCCAATAGTTATTTTTAATATTTGTATTCTTGTTATTTCTGCAAGTAAGCCTTTGTGTAGCACTTGGTATTTTACAAAGTTAAAACGTTCTTATTTATTATATTTCACAGAAGGGAAGGAAAACGGTAGGGTTTAACAGCAACCACTTGCATTGAACACGGTGGCATGTGGTATCATGATATTCTTCACTAAATTTAGCTGTCCCTAATCACAAATTCCAAGACAATAAAATATAATTTTAGTGCATATCTCCTCATCAGGAATGTTGGAGGTGCATTTTAAGTTTTAATAATAAATGCTAGAATGACCAAATTGCAGACTAATTGTTTCCATATTGTACTTAAAATGAGTTTTTAAAAATGAACAAGAAATGACTATATACAATTAATGCTATTTATTGTACCTCTGGGCCTACTCTTCTAAAAATTGTAGCTTATCAATTTTTCTCTGTCAAGCTTGAACTTATGTAAATAATTGAAATAATGTAAAGTTATATTTTCATGTTTTTATAGATACAACATAACAAGAATACATAATGTAAGAGTATTTCAACTATGGATAATGTTGATTGGATAATGCACATCTCAGTTACAATCAGTAATCATAGTTTAATATCCATGTAACGGTGCATCAATATATTGCTATATAAATATGTCTGTGTGCATATAAGTGAAAAGTGGTCAAACAAGAGTGATGACAGCTGTCTAAAGGTTTTTTATTCATTTTATATAAAAACTGTTATGGAAAGACCAAAATGTTTATGAACTATTCTTATGTAAATTTACAACTGTCCTTTACTGTACTTTTTTGTTTACAGTATAGTACCTTATTTTCTGCTGTGTTAAGTGGGTGTCAAACTCCAAGGAGACATACACTTTCTACAACTTCTATTGAAGATATTGGAATTTCCAATTTTTCATGTGTACTATGTCAGAAAATGCTTTTGATTTTATTTTTAAATCTAACATCGGATGGCTTTTTCTGAGTGTTGTAAAAACTTCAATCATACATAAAACATGTTCTTACAAAAGGCAAAGATCTTTATTTTTTTTTTTACTTAATAGTACTTCAAACCAATAATAATGAGAAACCAAAAGTGTATTTAACTTTATTCCCAAACAAACCCACTGTTTCTACGGAAGGAGATCTTTGCTCAGTTTATATGTCAGCTAGGTACAAATGTAACAGCATAGAAATAACTTTTTGTAAGCTAAAATTATTAATGATTCTGGTCTTCCATATCTACATCATTAAGTGTTTGGGGCATGCATAGAAATATAGGTCTTAATTACATTACTCATTTTATGACTGACGTACTCCACTGCTAGAATATCATACGTTACTATCATCAGCCATCCCACACGGTATGTTGTCAGTTCAGCTGCTGTGATAGTCATATTTAAGAGCAGAAAGTTAACTTTCTTTAAAAAT